ACTGTGGTTATGTTGGCCATGCAAAAGCAAGTTCTCCTTGTTCTAGAATGTCTTGAACATCCACTTCTCCTTCTTCACTGCTCTGGTTTAAGACTTCCTCATTCTCTCACTGGACAGTCACAGATTTCTTCAGACTCTCACCCCACCCCCTTTCTCCCTGGGTGTAAATTGCTGGTGGAGCTGATGGTAGCTATTGGAGGATCTGGGGGTAGAGGAAATACCATGGTCACAAGCATCTTAGAGAATTCATTGTGACAGGATGGGAGATGGATTAGAAGGGTGTATCAGACTTTTCAGGGAGTGAGTGTAGTTTAAAAAAGAAAAAAAAACTAGTATGAGAAAGAAATATTAAATTTGGAAAATGGGGGAAATTTTCTTTTGTAATATAGAATATAATGTTTGAATGAATAGAAGCAATAGAAAAGGTCTCGATTTTCTGGGGCATGGTTCCATCTCTTGCCATCGTCACAGCCTGTGTTGTGTTCCAGCCTTTACTTGCATCCCATGCCTTTGCACATGCTGTTTCCTTTCCTGGATACTGCCTCACTTTTACCAGTCATTGAGTACCTTTTACGTGCTCTTATTAGAACATGAAGATACAGTGATGAACAAGGTAAATGGGTGCCTTTCCTAATAGAGCTTACAATTGAATGGGGTTTTGGGAAATGAGATACCAAATAAAAACCCGTACAAAAGTGCTCTGAGTGGATAGAAAAGGGGACCTTAACCGAATCTAGAAGGTCAGGGTCGTTCCACCTGAGAAAATGACTTTTCAGCTGAGACCTGAAGAATTGTAGGCATTAACTAGAAAATTAGGGAGCTGGGAGAGGGTGTTTGTTGGTTAGGGGAACACCTTGTCCTTAGAGCCTGAGGCAAGGAGGAATAATCAAGAAATTCAAAGGGTGTGTGCGAGATCGGAGGTTAGTGAACCAGAGGGAGAGGCAGCAACTATGATTAGGAGAGGCAGGCAGAGGCCTTACGGTTACAGAGATGTGTCTGCACTTTATCCAGAGAGCAATGGGATGTTATTGAGGGGTTTTACAGGTAGGGGTGAGGAGTGAGGTTACATGTTCAGGTTAATTTTTGAAAATGGTGACTTTGACTGTTTGTGGAGAAAGCACTGTAGGGTTCAGGATAGAAATCAGTAGACTAAGCAAGCTAGTGTGTAGAGCAAGCATGTCAAACTCAAAGGCTAACACGGGCCAAATAAACAAGGTCTAAATTTATGTGGGCCGCAAAAAAAGCTTCAGTTTTCATAGAAACGTATGTTTACTTCGATAGAGACATGCTGAATACAAAGGGCTGAAATAAATGAATAATCGTTAACATAAAATAATAGAACATTTTAATAAAATTAATATTTTTTCTTGAACACTTACCAGATACTGAATAACTGCACAAATAAATAAGTGTAATGCAAATATTTTCCTTGTTCTCTGAAAGCTAAAATATTTCCTGTTGCGCACACCAAACAAGTCAGTACAAGACTAATGACGTGGCAACCGGCTGCTAAAATATTCGCTGCTAGTATTAGTGGAGAGAAATGGTACGCCTGTGCGTAAGGCGAGTAAGGGAAATGAATGCAACACGATTACAGTAATTAGTCATTAGTGAATGTTATAGTTCATCAATAATTATATGTAACGGTATTGTAAAAATTAAGTTATGAAATTTTTATTGAAATGTTTCTTACATACTGTTCTATTGGCTGAGCTGCAAAAATATTCCTTGTGGGCCACGAGTTTGACATGCTTGGTGTAGATTCATTAGAATGTTAGTTCAGGGGAGAGATGATGGTGATCTGGACTAAGCTGTTAGGATCGAACATGGAATTGACTGGATTGAAGAATTTTATAGCTTGAGTTGGCAGGATGTATGGAGAGATGGATTAGAACTGGAGTGTGAAAGAAACAGAGATGTCAGGGATGACGCCTGGATTTTATGGGTTGAATTGGATATGGATGATAGTCATTTTTATTGAGAGGAGCAGGTTTGGAGGAAAGATCCAAACTGCCTTAAAAGTTCTTTCTCTGTGGATTCTTGTTCTTTACCTTTGGCACTCCCACAAGATTCTGCTCAAATCTGCCCTCCTGTGAAATCACTCTGAAGGTCTTTTTGCCCCCATCTCCCATTGGGCAGTAAATTGTGCTTTTGTGTCATTTCGTAAAACGTCGTCCCTTAGTACTTATTCCTCTGTTTTATAATTGTGCACTTGACTATCTCTCTGACCAGACTTGATTTCTTTGTCTGGGACTTCCAAATAACGATCTTATTTATTTGGTGTTCGTGGATGTGGATAAATATTTTTTCACAGAGTTATGTATGTTAAAGATTTCTTTATCTTTTTTTTTAATATATCTTTACTGATTTTAGAGAGGAAGGGATAGGGAAAGAGAGATAGAAACATCAATGATGAGAGAGAATCATTGATTGGCTGCCTCCTGCATGTCCCCCACTGGGGATTAAGCCCACAACCTAGGCATGTGCCCTCGAGAATCGAACCACCTGGGACCCTTCAGTCCGCAGGCTGACGCTCTATCCACTGAGCCAAACCAGCTAGGGCAATTTCTTTATCTTTTTAAAAAATACATATTTTTATTGATTTAGAGAGGAAGGGAGAAAGAGAGAGAGAAACATCAATGATGAGAGAGACTCATTGATCGGCTGCCCCCTGCACACCTCACACTGGGGATCGAGCCTGCAAACCAGGCATGTGCCCTGACCAAGAATTGAACTGTGACCTCCTGGTTCATAGGTCGATGCTCAACCGCTGAGCCACACCAGCTGGGCAAGATTCCTTTATTTTAAATCCAGGTAATACTGGAATAATCTGTTTTACCGTGGAACTTTCCGCAGCCTTTTGTATTCCAATGTGGATTGTAAATCTATGGGAAAGGCATAAGCTGGCCAGTGTTTTCCAATATAATTTAGTTCTCCCTTCCCTCCTCCCACACAAGCTTTTGTTTTCTGAGCATCTCATGTTACTCGTGTTGAGGGTCAGAGATGGGGATAGGAACAATCTGTGGGAAATGTGATTGGGCGTGTTCCTATCACAGAGTAGGTGCATAATTCACTGAGTGTGGGTTACGTGAAAAGCAAAGCTGACGGCCGAGGGAGAACAGCTCTTCGTGTCTTTGGGAAACTCATTTTGCCTATAGTTGCTGCAGATCTATTTTTCCCTCCAGTAATCAAAACAAATAACAAGGATGAGAATTTACTGTCCATTGTTTGTTCCTGTCAGGCTGGAAAAGCTAGGTGACATGAGGTGACCAATTTTGTTCTGTTTCTTTGTAGCTAAGCTGGGAAGAGCTGAACAAAAATTTCTTTGGTCCTTTTATTTATTAACTCCCAACATCAAAATAGTGCCTTTCTTATACCACCTGGGTTCATAAAATAAACAGAGTTATATTAGTAACTATTTTTTTTTTTGTAAAAGAAATAAATGTTCAGTACTTTTCTAAGGCTATTTATATTCTGTTTCAGAGAGTTGACTGTAGTGACGCAGAACCTAGGTTTCAGGGAAATAAAGACAGGCTAAAGACAGGATAGACTAAATGGGGAAGACTTTTTTTTCTTAAGAGTTGTATGAATTTATTTTAGAGGGAAATTTTTCTTTTCAAGAGTGCTCAAGACAGTTTGTTTTTAGAGGGGAACCTAGTGGAAAGTTTTACCAGGAACTCATTGACTCAAACAGGAAATGTATTTGTTTTTAAACTTAGATTTTATTTTGTTGCCAGATGGCATTACTGTGTTACATTTATTAACAGACTCTAACTGCTGGTATCTTTCTTATATCATGTGGCGTGGATAGGTACCTTTACTCTGTATACTTTATTTGGCTGTAGAGTTAACAATGAGAAAAAATTTTTGCGTGATATCAAATATGGCCTACGTTAGGAGGGTTAAAAATGTCATAACCATTGCCCTGACCGGTTTGGCTCAGTGGATAGAGCATCGGCCTGCAGACTGAAGGGTCCCAGGTTCGATTTCAGTCAAGGGCATGTACCTTGGTTGCAGGCACATCCCCAGT